TATTTTTGTGTGTGTGTGCCATCAAATCGGATCTGACTGGTACAGGAGGAGATTGTCTCTCCTTCTCCAGCAGAGCCTCTGGTGGATTCAAACTGCACACCTCTGAGATTGCAGTGCAGCTTCCTGCCACTAGGCCACCAGAGCTCGCCGTGTCTTCATATTTCTTGACTGCTCGTACCAAGGGTGTTAATTGTGAATCCAAACAATATGAAGCTGTTGACAGTTTCAATCTCCTCTCCATCCATCATGACACTGCAAGTGTAGTCCCACCTTAAACTGATAAACATGGAAACTCTTTCCTGGAGCACTGGACACAGTAATCTTCATATGCAAAATAAAAGTAAATGTTACATGTTGCCCTTTTACCATATGCTAAAACAATATTCTAATTAAGATTCTAAATTTGGATCCCTACACTAGCAGTGTCTGCTGGTGTTATTTTGGTCCAGTTACTTTTGAGGCTTTGTTTTATCCTTTATGGAGTGGAGAGGCAAATAGTGTTTATTTTGTTAAGATAATTCAGCAAGATAGTGCCTGTGAAATGGTACAAAGGAAAAGCCCAGTAAGTTTTGCTGTTGTTAAAAGAAAATTAGAGGAGTCTAATATTGTGAGATTGACATGTTGTTTAAAGATTTGAAAATAAATTACTTGTGTCAGTAAACAATTCATTTTCTTTTTATTTGCTCCAAGCCTTTTTTTCTTACTGCCTGTTTCAGTGGAAGTAGTAGTTCTGTATATGCAGTCCTTAGATAGACCGACCCTCAATTTTTATGGTTAATCATAGTTAATATCTTCCTAATTCTTTTTCTTTACAGTGGTTAGCAAATCCTTCCAATGACATGTATGCTGATACAGTAACAACTGTGATATTAGAAGTTCAGTCAAACCCGAAAATAAGGAAAGGTATGAGTGTTTTATTATTAATTCTTTTTTTCCTTCCATGGATCTAGGAGATAAAAAGCAGTTTTAAAAGAGTTCTAAAAGCTTTTAAATTTTATTTGTTCCCCCCCTCGTTGTTGAGCTGCTAACAAAAGGGTGAGCACTTTGAATCTACCATTCACTCCTTGGGAGAAAAATAGCCTGCTCCCTTGAAAATCAGCAGCCTCATTGACCCATCAGGAATCAGAATTGACTCAACAACTGGATTGAGGGCATGGTTACAACTTTTAGGATCTACAATAGACTATATGCTGCTATAAACTAGTTTATAGTAGTTATTAGAAGTTACTTACTTTTTTGCCCTGAATCTTCATTTTTGTTATTAGGTGCTGTCAAGTCTACTACTACTCATAGTGTCCCTGTGAACAACAGATCTGAGCTTTGCCCTTTCATGTATTCTTCTCTGTCCTCCTGATCTCTGATATGCTGGAGCCTGCTGTTAAAATCACTGTGTCAATCCATCGTACTGAGGGTCTTCCTCTCTTTCTCTGACCTACACATTTCACTGCATGATGTCTTTTTTCCATGACCGGTCCCTACTGACAGCATCCTCGCAGTATATGAGAAGTTTCACCTCTGTGCTTCTAAGGAGCACCCCAGTTGCATTTCCTTCAAGACAGACTTGTTTGTTCTTTTGACACTCCATGGGATGGATATTCAGTGCTCTTCTCTCACACCTCAATTCAAAGGCATTGATTCTTCTGTCCTCTTTATTCATTGTCCAACTTTCAGATCCCTAGACTTTTCACTGGTACTCTGAAGATTTGGTTGCAGTTCACACTGAAATAAAGATTGCTTTAATAGCAGTCTTCTTAATTTAACTCCCATGGGTCAACGTTTCAGACAAATAATAGACATGCTTGTAAGGTAAACAATAACGCTAGGGAAGTCTACTCCTTAGAACAACCAACCATACAAGGTCGTAAAGGCAGTGTTTGCCCAGGGAGAAGTCTCAGAGGGCAAGGATAGGATAAGATCGGATAGGATAGAAGGATGAAGGGAAACAAGAATCACAGGGTAAACATGGAAAGAGTCCTGTTAAAAAGTATAATTAATATATAAAATAAAATTGATAGGAAAGAATAGAAAACCAGTTGCTCTGTGAATTTTAGCACAAAGTACAGTAATAAGTAACACTAAGAAATTCCAAATTACTGCTTATTTGAGAGACTGCATGACTAACAGGAAAATGTGCACTGTTATTTGTGTTTATTAAAATTTGTTGTGTAGACTGGAAATTTTGTGGGCTAATTTTGCAATAACTTTATTCTAAGTAGCATTTGCAATCCAGTGAAATATTCTTGTGTTGTTCATACAAAGATACTTATTTCTTTATCATAACCTCTTGTCTTGGGGAATTGTGTTGTTGTAGTGCACAAGGAGTTTGCTGCTAACCCAAAGGCGCTGCCTCCTGCAGTTCAAATCCACCAGCAGCTCCTTGAGTGAACAGTCTACTCTGCCATTTATAGCTCCAGAAACTCAAAGGAGGGTCTTCTATGAGTCTATTCTGACTCCATAGCTGTGAGGGTTTTTTTGCTTTTGAAAAAATATCTTAAAAGAAGTATCATGAGCATATAAGGTCACTTTCTTTTTCTGTCCTTAAGCACATTGTTAGAGTCACATTGTTCTGTCAGTTCATCTCCTTGAGAATTTTCCTGTACTTTTTCTGATCATTTCCTTTCCATGGACTGGTCTGTCCTCATAAGAAACCCAAAATATATAAGATGAAATCTCACCATCATTACTCTAAGCAGCACCCTGGCTGGACTTCTTTGAAGACAGATTTTTTTTCATTCTATTGGCAGTTCAAAGTGTATTCAATACATTTCAGCAACACTGACTCAGAGGCATCTGTTCTTCCATAGTGTTCATCATTCATTCTCCAACTTTCACAAGCATATGAATCACTTAAAAAACTATAACTTGGGTACATCTTAGTCTTTAATATTACATCCTTGCTCTTCAGCACTTGACAGCACATTTATCCAGTACCATTTGTCTGAAATTTCTTGACTTGCTTCTTCTGTGGGTGTTAATTTGTTGATCCAAGTAAAACTGAAATCCTTGACAACTTTAATCCTTTTTCTGTTAAGTCTGATGTTACCTCTTGGTCTGTTGTTATTGTTGTCAGGTGCTGTCAAGTCAATAATGATGAGGACTTTTTTCCTGTTGTTGAGGTGTAATCCATACTGAAGGCTGTAGTCTTTTACACTCTTCACTCAGTGTTTTATGTCCTATTCACGTTATACAAGTAGTCTTCACTTTCCACAAGCAAGAAATTGTCATCTGTATAACACAAGTTGTTCATAAGTTTCTTCTCCAGTCTTAGTGCCACATTCTTCATATAGTCCAGCTTCTTCGACCGTTTGTTCACCATACAGATTGGATATTCTGAGGTATAGAGAAAGGATCCATACTTGCCTTGATTTTAAATCACGCAGTATCCCCTTCTTGGAATTAATAGTCTGAAATTCCCTTTCTTCTCAATGTTATCTGTAATTTCTGTGATCCCCATAATCAAATACCTTTGCATGGTCAATAAAACACAAGTAAATTGCTTTCTGCTTCAGCTAAGTTCCATCTGATATCAACAATGACATCCCTTGTTTGACAGCCTCTTCTGAATCAAGCTTGAATCTCTAGGAGATCCTTACTGACTCCAGATGTTTCTCAGTAATCTTGCACTAAAATTATAGAAGAGTGTGATACTAATCATATTGTTCTGTGATTTGCACATTCTGATGGATCATCTGTTTATGGAATGGGAATAAATAATCTTATGCAGTTGGCCAAGCCTTCCAAATTTCTTGGCATAGATGAAGAAGCGTATCTTGGACTAAATCTGTTTGCTGCAACACCTGAGCTCATATTCTGTCAGTTCCTGGAGCTTTATTTTTTGCCGGTGCTGCTTCAGTTTCTTCTTCAGTACCCTTGGGTTTTGAGCATAGACAATTTCCTGAAATGTCTTAGTGTCCACCAGTTGTTTTTGGTGCAGTGACTCTGTATTTTCCTTTCATCTTTTCTGGTGTTTATTTTGTTAAAAAGAAACAATGCCATTTTTTATCAGTAGAATCCTTTGATAGTGCCCTTTGAGGCTTTAACATTTTTTTCTTCAGTTCTTGCAGCTTGAGAAATGATGAGCATGTTCTTCTCTTTGTTTTCTAACTCCAGGTCTTCACACATTTCCCTGTATCACATTACTTTGTCTTCTTGAACTGTCCTATGAAGTCTTCAAGTCTCTTTATTTCATACTTTCTGCCTTTTCTTTTCACCTCTCTACATTCAAGAATAAATTTGAAAAGTCTGACATCCGTTTTGGCCCTTTCATCTGTCCTGCTTTCTTCATGTATGATGCCCTTGATGTCATCCCATAACTTGACTGGTCTTCAGTGGTTATCAATCCATTCTTTCTTCAGATCTGTTCTGGAGATGATTTCTAAGTCAGGTGAGATCAATTAAAGGTCATATTTTGGTTCTTTTGTACTTGTTTTCGTTTTCTTCCAGTTCTCAGCTTTTCTGAGTTTCCTAAGTTCCTGCAGCATTTAGTGTGGAGGTAAAAGTGGGAGAAGCTGAAGAGAATAATCTTTTGGCTTGGCAGGTGACTTTCTAATTAGGATGAGTTCTAGCTGACCGTAGCCACCTCTTCACTAATTAAAGATCTTTCAGAAGAGGAGGCTGCCACAGCTGTGATAGTTGGCCATACTCCCTTTAAGGAGAAATGCATGCTTACCTAGTCATAGATGCCAGCCTGTTCTCAGATGCCTGCCTATTCGCATTCCAAATGTACCTGCTCTCCTTTAGCATCCTAGACGCAGTAAGAAATATAGACTGTTTGTAAAAGACAGTATGTTTGCTGGCTTGACCAGAAAGCTGTGTAAGTAGCTAATGAGAAATGAAACCCTTCCTCTTGGTGTCTCCTTATTGAAGTACATTTTGTTGATGTTGGAAGAGGTGGTTTCAGATCCAACCATTTGCAAGTTCTGTGAAGGTGGCCTCCTGGAAGCCAGTGGTTCTACTGGAAGAAGGACTAGAGCTTGAAATATTGCAGGAAGACTTTCAGCCTTTACTCCTCACATGGTATCAGATTCTATACTTGCTAGACTATTTCTTTTAAAAAATTGTTTACTATATACAGGTAGTTCTTTGATTTCAGAAGAAATATATCTAGCCCACTATTTCTGAAATTGGCTGTGTTGGTGTTAGGTACCACTCAGCTGGCTCTAACTCAAGCAGTTTTGTATAAAACAATGACAAACTACCTTGTCCTGCACCATCCTCACAGTCACTGCTTTCTCTGAGCTCATTGTGGTCACTGTGTCACTTCAGCTTATTGAAGGTCTTCTTCCTTTTTTATGATCCTCTCTTTTATAAATCATGGTAGCCTGCTCCAGGGAGTGGGCCCTCCTAGCAACATGTCCAAAGTATGTGCAGCCATCTTACCATCCTTGTTTCTAAAGAATATTCTAAAGAAGATACATTCATTCTCTTAGCAATCCATGGTATATTCTATGTCTGTCACATACTTGGGCAAGTCTAAATTATTCATTTGAATTGGTATTGTTTCAGTTCTTTTCAACAACCTACATTGTGCAGATGACACAACCTTGCTTGCTGAAACTGCGGTGGATCAGAAGTGCTTGTTGCAGAAGGTCAGGGACTGTAACTTCCATATGGATTGAAGCTCAATATTAAGAACACAAAGATTCTCACCACTGGGCCAATTGGCAGCACCATGATGGATGGAGAAGAGATTGAGGTTGTTAACAGTGACAGCTTGCTTGGCTCCACATCCAAAATTCTTGGCACCAGCAGTCAGGAAATCAGAAGAGAACTGGAGTAGATAAATCTGTCAGAGACCTTTCCAGAGTATTGAGAAGCAATGATATCAGTCTAGAGACTAAGGTGTGCCTGATCCAGTCCATGGTCTTCACAATTACTTGCTATGCATTAGAGAGCTGGATCATGAGTAAGGATGATAGAAGAATTAATGCCTTTGAGTTGTGCTGGAGAAGAGTCTTAAATGTACCATGGACCACCAAGAAAACAGTTCTGTCTTAGGGTAAAACCAAGTTTCTCCTTTAGAGGCTAGGATTTTGAAGTTCCGTCTCACATACTTTGGGCATGTGGCTGATCCTTGGAGAAGGACATCATGCTCAGAAAGGTGAACAGACAACACAGGAGAGGAAGACCATAGATAAGATGGATTGATATAGTAACTATGACAATGAGTGTAGGTGTGTCGGAATCAGTGAGACTCGCTCAGGACAGGGTAGGCTTCAGAGTTGTTGTACATAGGGTCATTATGAGTCACAGGCAACTCGACGGCACAATATAACAACACAAAATAACAACAATTATTTTGAGTCACAGTCATTATAAAAACTAATTTGAACATCATCTGATCATTTTATTTCATTGGTTTAATTTATGCCTAACAAGTATCTCTGTTACAATAATATCGGAGATACTTCTATACATTTACATCAGCCTCAGCAGAAGATTGCCTCTTGGATTTTTTTTTAACTTCTATAACAACAGCAGTAGCATTTTATCTACTTAAGAAATTAATGCTTTTCAGTAGCAAATGATTATTAGAACAAATAAAGTTCTTTCATTTTTTTCTA